CATTGGGGACATCACTGGGGTCATTGGGGACAGCAGGGATAGCATTGGGGACATCACTGGGGACATCACTGGGGTCATTGGGGACAGCAGGGATAGCATTGACACAGGGACACAGGGACAGGAACTCGGCGATGCACACACAGATGAACATGGTCTGCTCCTGGGGGGACAGTGGGGACATTGGGGACATCATTGGGGACATTGGGACATCACTGGGGACAGCAAGGATAGCAGTGCCACAGGGACAGGACCTCGGGTGACAGCGCAGGCAGCACCACAAGGACACAGGGACACCAAGGCAAGACACACGGACAGGGCTGGAGAGGGTCCCTGTGCCCACCCTGCCCTCAGGGACGCTCCTGCCTTATCTCGTGCCTTATCTCGTGCCTTATCTCGCTCTGTTTATCACCCTCACAAGGACAATCCATGGTGTCCCCATCTTTATCACCGCCCTGAGGGCTCCCTGTCCCCATGTCTGTCCCTGTCCCTGCCTGTCCCCCTGGGCTCCATTCCCCTCAGGAATGTGCCCGGACTGGCCAGCCCTGTCCCTGTGTCCCCATGTCCCCATCCCCATCCCGCCCATTTCCCCCATTCCAGTCCCTTCCATTCCCCTCCAGTCCCTCCCAGCTCCACCAGTTCCCCCAAATCCCCCAGTTCCCCCAATCCCCCAGTCCCTCCCAGTTCTCCCCAGCCTCTCCCCGTGCTCCCAGTCCCTCCCAGTTCCCCCATTCTCTCCCAGTCCCTCCCATTCCTCAGTCTCCCATTCCTCCCAGTCTCTCCCAGTTCCCCCATTCTCCCAGTCCCTCCCAGTCCCTCCCAGTGCTCCCAGTACCCCCAATCCCCCAGTCCCTCCCAGTCCCCCCAATCCCCCCCAATCCCCAGTTCCCCCATTCCCTCCCAATCCCTCCCAGTCTCTCCCAGTTCCCCCATTCCCTCCCAGTTCCCCCAGTCCCTCCGTCCCCCCAGTCCCTCCCAGTCCCTCCCATTCCTCAGTCTCCCATTCCTCCCAGTGCCCCCCAGTCCCTCCCAGTCCCCCCAGTCCCTCCCATTCCTCCCCGTCCCCCCCATTTCCCCCAGTCCCTCCCAGTGCTCCCAGTCTGTCCCAGTCCCCCCAATCCCCCCATTCCCCCCAATCCCTCCCATTCCTCCCAGTCCCTCCCAGTGCTCCCAGTCCCCCCAATCCCCCAGTTCCCCCAGCCTCTCCCAGTCCCTCCCATTCCTCAGTCTCTCATTCCCCCATTTCCCCCAGTGCCCCCAAATCCCCCATTCCCCCCATTCCCCCCAGTCCCTCCCAATCCCCCCAGTCCCTCCCAGTGTCCCCAATCCCCCCAGTCCCTCCCAGTGCCCCCAGTCTCACCGGGTCCTTGAACTGCTCGCTGACCGAGCGGATCACGGGCAGCGTCTCCTCCAGCTTGGACGCCAGCTGGTCGGCGTTCATGTCCCCCAGCCCCAGCATGTTACACATCTATGGAGAGGGGGGGGACAGGGCTGTGAGACCCCCCCGGGGAGCCCCCAGCCCCAAATCCCAGCCCTGGAACACCCCCAGCCCCAAATCCCAGCCCAGAAACTGCTCTGGGACACCCTAAACCCCAGCATGTTACACATCTGTGAGTGAGGGGGGGGACAGGGCTGTGAGACCCCCCCGGGGAGCCCCCAGCCCCAAATCCCAGCCCTGAAACACCCCAGCCCCAAATCCCAGCCCTGAAACGCCCCCAGCCCCAAATCCCAGCCCAGAAACGCCCCCAGCCCAAATCCCACCCCTGGAACACCCCCAGCCCCAAATCCCACCCCTGGAACACCCCCAGCCCCAAATCCGAGCCCAGAATCTGCCCCAGGACACCCTAACCCCAGCATGTTACACATCTATGGGGGGGGACAGGGCTGTGAGACCCCCCGGGACACCCCCTGGGAGCCCCCAGCCCCAAATCCCATCCAGTGACCCCCCCCAGCCCCAAATCCCCCTCAGGACCCTCTTGGGACCCTTTCCCAGACCCAAATCCCTCCTGGAACCCCTCAGGGACCACCCCCAGCCCCAAATCCCCTCCTGTGATTTCCCCCAGCCCCAAATTCCCCCAGGACGCCCCCAGGACCCCAAATGCCCTCCCCACCTGTGAGATGAAGGGGCTGATCTGGTTCTTGATCTGCATGAGCCTCCCCAGCCCTCTCTCCACGATGGTGGGGAAGTTGAGCAGGCGCAGCGTGTGCCCGGTGGGCGCCGTGTCGAACACGACCACGGAGAAATTCATCCCCTTCACCAGCCTGGGGGGGCAGGGGGTGTCAGCAGGGGTGTGGAGACCCCTCCCCATTGCCAGGTGAGAGCTGCCTGTGCACTGAGACCCCTCCTGAAACTCCAAATCCCCCAGGTGTGCTCACCTGGTCCGGGGACTCGGCCTAAACCCCACCTTAGGGCTTTACCTGCTCAGTAAAACTCCTCCTGAGACCCCCAAATCCCCCAGGTGTGCTCACCTGGTCCAGGTACTTGGCCTAAACCCCACCTTAGGGCTTTACCTGCTCAGTAAAACTCCTCCTGAGACCCCCAAATCCCCCAGGTGTGCTCACCTGGTCTGAGTACTGAGCCTAAACCCCCACATTAGAGCTTTACCTGCTCAGTAAAACCCCTCCTAAGACCCCCAAATTCCACCCCACACCCTCATGTACTCACTCAAACCCATCCTAAGCCCCACCCCACACTCCCAGATGCGCTCACCTGGTCCAGATATTTGGCCTAAATCCATTTTTAGCCCCCCAAACCCCACCCCACACTCCCAGATGCGCTCACCTGGTCCAGATGTTTGGCCTAAATCCATTTTTAGCCCCCCAAATCCCACCCCACATTCCAGGTGAGCATCACCTGCTCACTCAAACCCCCCAAATCCCCACCCCACACTCCCAGATGTGCTCACCTGGCCAAGATATTTGGCCTAAATCCATTTTTAGCCCCCCAAATCCCACCCCACACCCTTAGGTGAGCATCACCTGCTCACTCAAACCCCTTTTTAACCCCACCCCACATTCCAGGTGAGCATCACCTGCTCACTCAAACCCCCCAAATCCCCACCCCACACTCCCAGATGTGCTCACCTGGTCCAGATTTTGGCCTAAATCCATTTTTAACCCCCTAAATCCCACCCCACATCCCAGGTGAGCATCACCTGCTCACTCAAACCCCTTTTTAACCCCCCAAACCCCACCCCACACCCCCAGGTGAGCCCCCAGCCCCACCTCATGACCTCGGCGTAGCTCATGGCCTCGTCGATGCCGGGGAAGGCGCTCATGGCCTCCTGCATCATCTTCTTGCCCATGCTGAGCACGTTGTCCTCCTCAAAGAACTCGTCAGGGAGCTCGGCCACGCCCAGGCTGGGGTCGATCTCCTGGGAGGGGGGGACATTGGGGACACACAGGGGACATTGGGGACATTGGGGATGTTGGGACATTGGGGACATTGGGGACGTTGGGGACAGTGGGGACAGTGCAGGGATTGGGGACATTGAGGATGTTGGGACATTGGGGACACACAGGGGACATTGGGGACATTGGGGATGTTGGGGGCATTGGGGGACAATGAGGATGGGGCTTCAACTGGGGACCCTTCTAGAACCTCCAAGATCCCTCTGGGACCCCTCTAGACCCTCCCCAAGCCCCCTCAGGACCCCTCCAGAACCCCCCAAAAACCACTCTGGGACCTTCTAGGTCTGCTGGAACCCCCTTGGGACCCCTCCAGGCCCCCCTGGAACCCCTCCAGGCCCCCCTGTGACCTCTCCAGACCCTCCAAGAGCCCCCTGGGACCTCTCCAGACCCTCCAGGAGCCCCTTGGGACCTCTCCAGACCCTCCAGGAGCCCCCTGGGACCCTCCAGACCTCCCCAGAACCCCCCTGGGACCCCTCCAGACCACCCAAGACTCCTCAGGGACCCCTCTGGATCCTCCAAGAGCCCCCCAGGCCCCCTCCAGACCTTCCAAGACCCCCATGGGACCCTTCCAGACCCCTGCCCAAACCCACCATGGCGAAGAGGTTGTCGTAGCCGGTGACCTTGGTGGGCACTTTGGAGAATTTCTGGTCGAAGGCGTCCGAGATGTTGTGGGCGGGGTCGGTGGAGATGATGAGCACGCTCTCCCTGACCCGGGACAGCTGCACGGCCAGGCTGCAGCTGGGATGGGGGGAAATGGGGGGGTCTGGGGGGGTCCTGCATCCGGACGGCCCCTCCAGGGTCAGATCCCCCCAAAACTGCCACGAAAATGGGGGCAGGGGGTGGGTTTGGGACCCCCCTCAGGTGTGTGGGACCGCCCTGGGGGGGGACAGGTGTGTCCCCCACCCTGACCCCGTTAATCCCGTCCCGTTCCTCCCATCCCATCCCAATCCCGTGATCCCATCCCGACCCCCGCTATCCCATTCCAATCCCGTTATCCCAGCCCGATCCCGGTGATCCCACCCCGGTCCCGGTATCCCACCCCGATCCGGTGATGCCGCCCCGACCCCGTAATCCCATCCCGACCCCATTATCCCACGGAATTATCCCATTCCAATCCCGTTATCCAACCTCGATACCCCGCCCACCCGGTCCCGGTACCCGGTGCCGCTCCCGGTGCCCGGTCCCTTCCCCGGTGCCTCACCTGCACGTGGTCTTGCCCACGCCGCCCTTGCCGCCCACGAAGATCCACTTGAGGCTGCGCTGCTCGATGATGTTCGCCAGCGTCGGCTCCAGCGGCTCCACGTCGGGCGCGTCCTCGAACTCCTCGGGGCCCTCGGCCGCCCACCCGCCCGCCGCCGCTGCCGCCATCTTCCCCGCGCCGCCGTTCGCCGCGCGCTGATTGGCCGCCGCGCCGCCGCGCCCTCCCTTCTTTCGCTTCCCATTGGTCTAATCGCCTGTCAATCCTTGCTGGAGGCGGGGCGTAGCGCCGGGAGCCCCGCGCGTTGCCGGGCAACGCCGCCCCGCCGGCGGCGAGCTGTGACGTCACCAAGCGGCGCCGCCGCCGCCGCGGAGGTCGCGCTGATGTCATCGGGCGGCGCCGGCGGCGGTGGCGGCGGACAAGATGGCGGCGCGCGGTGAGGACCGAGAGGCTCCGGAGGCGCCTTCGCCGCCCCCGCCCGGCCCGGGCGGCGGCGTCAACGTGTTCGCCAACGACGGCAGCTTCCTGGAGCTCTTCAAGCGCAAGATGGAGGCGGAGGAGCAGCAGCGGGAGCGCGAGGCGGCGGCGGCGGCCGCGGAGGCGTCCGGTGGCGGCGGCGGCGGTACCGGCACGCAGCGCGGCGGGGCTGACGGCGCGAAGAGGAGCGGCGGCGCGCTCAGCTTCGTAAGGACGCGGCGGCCCGCGGGCCCCTCCCGGCTCCGCTCCCGCCGGCCCGGCCCGAACGCGTGAGGGGGGCACGGCCCCGGTGCCGCTCCCGGGGCTCCTCGGCCGTACCCGGAGCTGCTCGGTCGCGGCCTCGCCTGTCCCGGTGGCTCCGCGCTCCCTCCGGTTCTTTTCCCTCCCGAGCCCCGGTTCCGGTACCGGGGGAGGTTCGGGGCGGGTTGGAGCCCCCGGGGGTCACGGCGGGACCCCCCCGCCCTCGCTCCCGGTAACGGGGCAGGTTTGTCCCTTCCCCAGGTGGGGCGGCGGCGGGGGGGCAACAAGCTGGCCCTGAAAACGGGAGTGGTGGCCAAGAAGCAGAAAACGGACGAGGAGGTGGGACCGGAGGGGAAACCGGGGGGTCCCGGGAGGGATTTGGGGCGGAATTGGGGGTCCTGGAGGGGATTTGGGGGTCCCGGGAAGGGAAATTTGGGGTGAGGAGGAGGAATTTGGGGTCGGGTGGGGACATTGGGGTTCGGGGAGGGAGAAATTTGGGGTGGGGAGGGGGGATTTTAGGGCTGCGGGGGGATTTGGGGTCCTGGAAGGGAAATTTGGGGTCCTGGGGTTGGAGAAGGGTGGATTTTGGGGCTGTTTTGGGGTGATTTTTGGGGTAACTTGGGGCTATTTTGGGGGTGATTTTTGGGTTATTTCAGGCCTATTTTGGGGTGCTTTTGGAGGTTATTTTGAGGTTGTTTTGGGCTGATTTTGGGGTCGATTTGGGGCCATTTCAGGGTGATATTTGGGGCTGTTTTGGTGTGATTTTTGGGGTGATTTTGGGCTGATTTGGGGTCATTTTGGGGCTGTTTTGGGATGATTTTTGGAGTGATTATGGGGTGATTTTTGGGCCGTTTTGGGGGTAATTTAGGGGTGATTTGGGGCCGTTCTTGGGATGATTTTTGGGCCGATTTTTGGACTGATTTGGGGTTCTTTTGGGGATGGTTTTTGGGCTGATTTTGGGGGTGATTTGTGGCCGTTCTGGGGCAGGTGCTGACGAGTAAAGGCGACGCCTGGGCCAAGTACCTGGCGGAGGTGCAGAAGTACAAAGCTCACCAGTGCAGCGACGACGACAAGACGAGACCCCTGGTCAAATAACCCCGGCCCCCCCCCCCCCAAAAAAAACCACCCCAAAATCCCGCGGGGGGGGCCCCCAAAACACCTGCTCAAATAGGCCCCGCCCCCTCGCCGAAATGACCTGTGGGGCGGGGCTGATGACCACGCCCAGCCCCCAAAAATTATCCAATTAAATAGCGCTGAGACCCCCCCCAAAAATAAAACAGTGAAGGGGGGGGTCCTGGCCTTACCCACCCCCCAAAAATACTGAATACAATAACACTGACCCCCCCACCCCAAATTTACCTGTGTGATGGGGGCGTGGCCTAAATGTGGCCACGCCCCTTCCCCAAAAAACTCATTTAAAGGTGGGGATACCCCCCCCCCCCCCCCCCAAAATCCCCCGGACCCCCCCAAAACCCCCCTGTAAATACCAAATGGAAAGGTGGGGGCCCCGCCCCTTTTGTGCGGGCCACGCCCCTTTTCTATCGCCCCGCCCCGAGCTGGATTTGATTGACAGTGCTGCCCCCCGCCCCCCCCAGCCGCGTTTTGGGGGAATTTTGGGGGGGTTTGGGGGGGGCGGCACGGAAATAAAGAGTTCTGAGGTTTCGGACGTGCTGAGGAGATTTTTTGGGGTGATTTTGGGTGGGTTTTGGGGAGGGGAGAGTCTCCCCAATGTCACCTCTTTCCCCTCAGGGTTACCGCCTTTCTTTGGCCTTCCAGTTCTCCCAGTATGGAGAGTTTGCTGGTTTGGGGGGGTTCAGATTAATAAAGTTTGGGGGGATAACTGTGCTCTGAGCCCCCCAGTTCATCCCAGCTCCTCCCAGTTCCCCCTCTCCACTTGGTCCCACCCCGCCCATCGGGGTTTGTTGTTCCCCCTTTGCCCCGCAATGGTTCCGCCTGCGCGCGATGCACGCTGGGGATTTGTAGTCCCCGCCTCATCCCGGGGACTCCGCGCATGCGCGCCGTAGCTCCTCCTCTTCCCGCCAGCGCTGCTCCGCCCCTTCCCCCGGAGGCCCCGCCCCTTTGCGCACGTGACACGGCCGCGCGGGGCGGACGGTGGCCGGCGGGGGTCACGGGGGGCAGCGGCGAAACCCCCCCGGCCGCGCTCCGACCCCCCCCCCGAACACCGGGACCCCCCCCAAAAACACGGGGAACCCCTTCCCCCCGTTCCCCACCTCCAAAACCACACCGGGACCCCCCCTCCCCCTCCCGGAACTCAGCGGGCAGGTACCGGCAGCGCGGGGGGCGGCGGGGAGCGGCGCGCGGGGCCTGAGGGGGCGGGGGGGGCGCTCAGGGGAGAATGGGGAGGGGAAATTGGGGAGGGGGTCCTGAGGGGGTTTGGGGGTCTCGGGAGGGGGGAACGGGGGGGATCGGGGCACGGGGGTGGTTGGGGAGGTGGGGGGGGCGTTGTGAGGGGGTTTGGGGGGGTCTGAAGGGATTTGGGGAGGGTCTGAAGGGGTTTGGGGGGGGTCTGAGGGGATTGGGGGGGGTCTGAGGGGATTGTGGGGAGCTCTGAGGGGGTTTGGGGAGTCTGACGGGGTTTGGGGGAGTCTGACGGGGTTTGGGGCGTCTGGGGGCGGCCAGGGGTTCAAACCGGGGGGGCAATGGGGGTGCGGGAGATCGGGGGGTGAGGAGGGGGGGTTTATTAATGGGGAGGGGGGGTTTAAAGATGGGGAGGGGTCGCGGGGGGGTCCCGGACCTTTCCCTTTCCCCTCCCCCCCCCGTCCCGGTTCTCCCGCCATTCCCGGTCCCGGCCCCACGTGCGCCGCTCCCGCCCCGCCCCCGCTCCTTCCGGGGGGGGCCCCGAATGTTCAGGACCCCCCCACCCCTTCCTCCCATTTATCCCCCCCAGGACCCCCCCCGCGCCCCTTCCCCCCGAATTTATCCCCCCCTAGGCCTCCCCGTGCCCCTTTTTCCCCGAATTTCTCCAATTTTATCTCCCCCCATGACCCCCCCCTTGCCCCTTCTTCCCCCCATTTATTGACCCCCCCCTCAAAATTCATTGATCCCCCCTCACACTCTTTCCCCCCATTTATTAATTTTCTCTCTCCATTTATTAACCCCAGGATCCCCCCTATTCCTTGACCCCCCCACATCCCTTCTCCCCATTTTTATTATTTTTGATTTCCCCCCTCCATTTATCGACCTCAGGACCCCCCGTGCCCCTTCCCCATAATTTCCTGACCCCCCCCCCCACATCCCCTCCTCCCATATTTTTGATTTTTCCTCCTCCATTTATTGACCTCAGGACGCCCCACGCCCCTTCCCCATAATTTCCTGACCCCCCCACATCCCTTCCCCCCATATTTTTGATTTTTGATTTTTCTCTCCTCCATTTATCAACCCCAGGACCCCCAGTGCCCCTTCCCCATCATTTCCTGACCCCCCCCCATTTATTCCCCTTTCTCTCTCTCTGCAGCCCCCGGGTCCGGAGCCCCCTCAGACCCCCCCAGGCCCCTCTGGGACCCTCCTGGGACCCTCCTGGGACCCCTCCCCGGGGCCCCCCCGGCCCCCCCCGGGCCATGGACTGGCAGCCGGACGAGCAGGGCCTGCAGCAGGTGCTGCAGCTGCTCAAGGACTCGCAGTCGCCCAACACGGCCACCCAGAGGGTGGTGCAGGACGTATCCCAGAGCAGGGGGCTGGGAGTACTGGGGGGCACTGGGAACGAGGGTGGGAGCACCGGGATGGGACCCTCGGGAGGGTGGGGACACCAGGAATGGAGATGGGAACACTGGGGGGTACTGGGATGGGGACTGGGAGCACTGGGATGGGACCCTCGGGGGGGCTGGGGGCACCAGGAATGGAGATGGGAACACTGGGGGCTACTGGGATGGGGACTGGGAGCACTGGGATGGGACCCTCGGGGGGGCTGGGGGCACCAGGAATGGGGTGAGAGCCTTGGGAGTGGGGAGGAGAGCGCCAGGAGGGGGCTGAGACCCCACTCGGGTGGGGTTGGGACCCTCAGGATGGGATTGGAACCCCCAGAATGAGGCTGGGATCCCCAAGATGGGGTTGGGACCTCTAAGATGGGGTTGGGACCCCCAGGATGGAGCTGGGATCCCCAGGATGGGATTGGGACCCCCAAGATGGGATTGGGACCCCCAGGATGGAGCTGGGACCACCTGAAGTGGGGCTGGGACCCCCGAAATGGGATTGGGACCCCCAGGATGAGGCTGGGATCCCCAGGATGGGGCTGGGACCCCTAAGACAGGATTGGGACCCTCAGGATGAGGCTGGGATTCCCAAGATGGGATTGGGACCCTCAGGATGGAGCTGGGACCCCCAGGATTGGGCTGGGACCCCCAGGATGGAGCTGGGACCCCCAAGATGGGGTTGGGATCCCCAAGATGGGAACGGGACCCTCAGGATGAGGCTGGGACCCCCGAAATGGGGTTGGGACCCCCAGGATGGAGGTGGGACCCCCAAGATGGGGTTGGGATCCCCAGGATGGAGCTGGGACCCCCGGGATGGAGCTGGGACCCCCAGGATGGGGCTGGGACCCCCAAGATTGAGCTGGGACCCCCAGAATGAGGCTGGGACCCCCAAGATGGGGTTGGGATCCCCAGGATGGAGCTGGGACCCCCAAGATGGGGTTGGGATCCCCAGGATGGAGCTGGGACCCTCAGGATGGGATTGGGACCCTCAGGATGGGGCTGGGATCCCCAGGATGAGGCTGGGACCCCCAAGATGGGATTGGGACCCTCAGGATGGGATTGGGACCCTCAGGATGGAGCTGGGACCCCCAGGATGAGGCTGGGACCCCCAGGATGGAGCTGGGACCCCCGGGATGGGGTTGGGATCCCCAGGATGGAGCTGGGACCCCCGGGATGGAGCTGGGACCCCCCGGGATGGGGGGATTCAGACCCTCGGGGCAGGGAGGTTTTAATCTTGTGAGGAAAAACACGGGGTGGGCAATGTGGGGTGGGGGTCCCTGGGGGGATCCTTTGGGCAATGTGGGGTGGGGGTCCCTGGTGGGGGGGGGTCCCTGGGGGTCCCTTTGTGTCCCTGTCCCTCCTTGACCCCCCCCCTGTGCAGAAGCTGAAGCAGCTGAACCAATTCCCCGATTTCAACAATTACCTGATCTTCGTGCTCACCCGCCTCAAGTCTGAAGGTGGGGGGGGTCCCAGGGGCTCTGGGGGTGTCAGTGACACCTGGGGGGGGCACAGGTGACACCTGGGGGGCTCAGGTGACCCCGGGGGGGGCTCAGGTGACACCTGGGGGGGGGCTCATGGACCCCTTTTCCCACCCAGAACCCCCAGACGAGCCCACGCGCTCCATGAATGGGGGGGGGTCCCAGGGGGTTTGGGGGGTGTCAGTGACACCTGGGGGGCTCAGGTGACACCTGGGGGGTGCCGGTGACACCTGGGGGGTGCAGGTGACCCCAGGTGACCCTCACAGACCCCGTTTTTGCCCCCCAGATGAGCCCACGTGCTCCATGAATGGGGGGGTCCCAAGGGGTTTGGGGGTGTCAGTGACACCTGGGGAGGCACAGGTGACACCTGGGGGGGCTCAGGTGACACCTGGGGGGTGCAGGTGACACCTGGGGGGTGCAGGTGACCCTCACAGACCCCGTTTTTGCCCCCCCAGACGAGCCCACGCGCTCCCTGAGCGGGCTGATCCTCAAGAACAACGTCAAGGCTCATTTCCAGAGCTTCCCCCCGCCCGTGGCCGAGTTCATCAAGCAGGAGTGCCTGAATCACCTGGGCGACGCCTCCTCGCTGATCCGGGCCACCATCGGTGAGGACACACCTGGGGACACACCTGGGGACACCTGGGACACACCTGGGACACACCTGGGGCAGTGGGGACACACCTGGGTACTCGTGTGAGCCAAAACCCTGGCACAAAATAGCCCTGGGTTACACCTGGGCGACGCCTCCTCGCTGATCCGGGCCACCATCGGTGAGGGCACACCTGGGGACACACCTGGGGACACATCTGGGGCAGTGGGGACACACCTGGGTACTCGTGTGAGCCAAAACCCTGGCACAAAATAGCCCTGGGTTACACCTGGGCGACGCCTCCTCGCTGATCCGGGCCACCATCGGTGAGGGGACACCTGGGGACACAGCTGGGACACACCTGTGGACACCTGGGGACACCTGGGGACACCTGGGGACACACCTGGGGCAGTGGGGACACACCTGGGGACACCTGGGGCAGTGGGGACACACCTGGGGACACCTGGGACACACCTGGGACACACCTGGGGTACACCTGGGTACCTGGGGACACACCTGGGGACACCTGGGGCACACCTGGGGACACACCTGGGGACAGCTGGAGCCATGGGGACACACCTGGGGACACACCTGGGGACACACCTGGGTACTTGTGTGAGCCGAAATCATGACCTAAAACTGCCCTGGGGCACCTGGGTACCTGTGGGACCCCCCAAAACCCCCTCAAACCCCCCAAAACTCCCCCAAAACTCTCCTCAAAACCCTCTCAAACCCCCCAAAATCCCCTCAAACCCCCCAAACCCCCCGTTCCCAGCTCACCTGTGCACCTGTCCCCAGGTATCCTGATCACCACCATCGCCTCCAAGGGGGAGCCGCAGATGGGACCCCAAATGCCTCAAAACTCCCCTCAAATCCCAAAATCACCCCC